ATGGGATGGGACGGGACGGGACGAGACAAGACGGACGGACGGGACGGACGGACGGACGGGACGGGACGGGACGGGACGGGACGGGCCGGGACGGGACGAACGGCGCGACACAGACAGGCAGCGCGACGCGGACGGACGGGACGGGACTGAAGGCGCGACGCGGACGGGCAGCGTGAAGCGGAGGGACGGGACTGGACGGACGGCGCGACGCGGACGGACAGCGCAGCGGGTGCTAGGGCACGAGAGCGACGTAACGGCAGGCGCGATAGGCGGTAGGGGACAGTATGAGCGTAACGGGCACTAGGGTACGGGACAGGCTCAGGCGCTACGGACGTGAACGAGAGGAACGGGATCCCACAGGATCCTAACCTAGGTGATACCATGTCAAGAATGAAAGTGTTGGTTTATTGATGTGGGTTGGGGTACATATAACAAACCCTAACATCTGTACCCCCTAAGACAAACCTCACTACAGGCTACAACATTTGACATTATTACTGGGCTTTCACAATCTACAGCGCTACAAGCTTCCGCATTACATAAGAAGTTCTCTCGTACAACAACTAGGAATAAACCCAAAAGATTGGATTACTATGGATCTCCCCTTACGGCAACTGTTTCTCTTCCTTCAGCAGCTTTGAGACGCCTGTCAGTGTGTTAGCATCAGTCGATTTGAGGTTACTTCTGAACTGTGGAGCGACACGGATATCCGTCACATCAGTCTCTCCAGACTCCTCCAACCAACCAGCATCCTTATTCCCTCCCCAACCAACCATCCAGCTCTCCTCTCCTCCCTCCACCTCTGAAACTCCTTGCCCTCGACTTTCCTCGTTCTTACTGCCCTCTCCCTCTCCACCTGATCCACCCCCCACCTCCTCATTCCCCTTTCCCTCATTATTCTCACCCTCCCTGCTGGGTTCACCAGAATCACTCACACCACCTCCCGAATCTTCCCCAACAGCCGCTGCGCCACTGCTTTGGTCACTGCCACTGCCTGAAGCAACAGGGGCAGACTTCTGCCACTCATCATGCTCTTCACCTCCGCCCTCCCCTGCACTACTGTCACCCTCACCGTTCTGAACCTCACCACTCCCACCATCAGCCCCACTGCCATCACCTTTATTAGTTTCCTCACTCTCTGCAGGATCGACACCACCACTTGCACCACCATCACCAGTCCCTAGGTCACTAGAATCCTCGCCCTCCGTTCCCTTCTCACTCCCCTCTGGCAACTTCCCTTCCTCCTCCTGAGCTTTCTCTCTCTCTGCAGGATCGACACCGCCACTTGCACCACCATTACCAGTCCCTGGGTCACCAGAATTCTCACCTTGCGTTCCCTCCCCATTCCCCTCCGGCATCTCTCCTTCATCCTCGTCTTTCCTCGCACTTGCATCTTCTCCTAACTCTCCCTCCTCCTTCACCTCCTCCCCTGCCTGCCCTTGTGTCTCTGAGTTGCCCGACTCTGAACTCATCTCCTCTTCCAAGAGATGCTTGTCCTCTTGCTGAGTTTCCCCGTCCCCCTGCTGCTCCCCTCTCTCCACTTTCTCCTCTCCTTCCTGCTGCTCTGCTTCCTTCTCAGCTTCCCTTCTCTTCTTCTCCTCCTTTCTCTTTCCCTTCTCTGCCTTTCGTTTCTCTTTCTCCCTTTTCCTCCTTGCCTTCTCTTCTGCCCGTTTCTTTTTCTCCTCCTTCCTCCTTGCCTTCTCTTCTGCCCGTTTCTTCTTCTCCTCCTTCCTCCTTGCTTTTTCTGCTGCCTTATCCTCCTTGTCACCTTCCCCATTATCACTCCCTTCCAAATCCTCATTATCTCGCCCATCTGTGCTACTTAATCCCTCCACACTGTCTTGTGCATCACTACTCCATCCCTTGTCCTTGTCCTCCTCATCATGATCCCCATTATCACTCTCTTCCTTATCCTCCCCATTGTCTTCCCCATTATCACTCCCTTTCGAATCCTCGTGGTCTTGCCCATCAATGCTACTCCCTCCTTCCTCCTCACTGTCTTCCCCATCACTATCCCCTTCCTTACTTTCCTCATTGCCTTCCCCACTACCACTCCTGCCCATACCCTCCTCATTACCTACCATATAACTACTTCCTGAAGAATCATTCCCTCTGCCTTGACAGTTTCCTCCATTCTCCTCCTCCTTCTCATCTCCCATCCCACCTCCTTCCCCATCTCCCATCCCACCTCCTTCCCCATATCCCGTCTCATTGCCCTGCCCATCTCCGTCAGATACGTCACTTGAGTCGTCCCCATCACCACTCCCATCATCCTCCACGTTGACGCCTCCATTCTCGCTCTCCTCATCCCCATCCCCATTCCCATCCCCATCTCCAACCCCATCCCCATCCCCATCCCCCTTCCCTTCCCCATCCCCATCCCCATTCCCATCCCCATCCCCATCCCCATCCCCATCCCCATCCCCATCCCCATCCCCATCCCCATCCCCATCCCCATCCCCATCCCCATCCCTATCGCCATCCCCATCCCCATCGCCATCCCCGTCCCCATCCCCGTCCCCATCCCCGACGGCAGCAGCAGCAGTGCCTGTATCGGGTTCTCCCTGCAACCACCGACGACTCTTTAAGGGCTCAACAGAAGCCGTTGCAGCACCGCTCACATCAGAGCCCGTATCTGGTTCTCTGCGCGACCACCGACGACTCTCCGCAGCAGCAGACGCAGCAGCAGTCGCAGCAGCTCCAGTTGCAGCACGGCTCACATCAACAGTGCCTGTAACGGCGTCGCTCACATCAACAGTGCCTGTAACGGCGTCGCTCACATGAACAGTGCCGGTAACAGTGTCGCTCACATCAACAGTGCCTGAAACAGCGTCGCTCACATCAACAGTGCCTGAAACAGCGTCGCTCACATCGCTTGAACCAGCAGACTCTCTCTCTGCTTCTCCACGCAACCACCGGCGGCTCTCCGATAGCTCAACAGAAGCCGCAGCAACATTCGCAGCAGCAATCGCAGCAGCAATCGCAGCAGCAGTCGCAGAAGCAGTCGCAGAAGAAGTCGCAGCAGCAGCCGCAGGCGCAGCCGTGGTACTACGGCGATGGTAGTGACCCTCACGGTCACCTAAATCTCCTCCTCGCAATCCATCCGTGTCTGTATTCGCGACGGCGGTCGTCACGCCAAGACGACGATCCCCACCCTCGGGTAACCTGCTTTCGCTCGTTTTCGTGGAAACAATGTAATTCGAGCGCAGAACAGTACTATGGGTTAGGGACGGTGCATGGTCAACATTCAGCCAGTTGCGACGGGGTAAACTGCGTGCAGGAACCCTAGGTCTGACCTCGTCATTGTCGTTATCTTGAGTGATTACATTCGTCCTTACGTCTGTTACTCGGTCAGGTAACCCTAAAACTGAAACCAGGAGGAAAGCTGGGACAAGCAAAAGAAGCAAGAACCACGCACGAAATGGGAACCGCGAACCGTTAACCACGTACTCGCTAGTGAAGTACCCGTAATTACCCATTTCAGCGATTATAATGTATATGACGGAGCATGGTTCAGGCTTCGCAAGAAACGCGCCTCGACATAGACTAGTGCTTCCTAGAAGCTCACACTGTATCAGTAGTCCCGTGGCAGCTGTCCCTACCTACCAACCGATCGTCTCGTTGAAGAAACTTATCGGCCCTGTTCGCCACGCCTTTGCTGGGCCTCCAAAGGGATGGGCGGGGGATCCGGAAACCGCCCTGCACCTTCGAAAAGGGCTGAAATCAGGGTTTTAGGGCCGGTCAGACCGACAAATCCTGTCGAGCCTGAAGATCCCCTCCGAACCTCGGTGGGCTCGCTGTCGTGGCGAACACCCACATTTCTGGGCCATCAAAGGGATTGGCGGGGGATCCGGAATGCGCATGGCAGTTTCCTGCCCTGCCAGCTAGAAATCCCATCCCTTCCCTCGCCTCTCCCCCGTGCAGACCACTAATTTCGGGGGTTCATCCCCTTCATGAAAAAAATTTGCCCCTGAAGGAAGGGGGGAGGCAGGCGCTAGATCCCCTTCACCCCCTTCCTGATCCCATTGGCGAAATTTCAGTCGAGGGCGAGCCCCCCCGGACGTAATTTGCAGCTTCCTTTGCACCTTCTAGAGCCCTCGCCCATCCCCCGCCCCTTGTCTATAGCGTGGTCGTGGCGAACATGGCCATAGCGTGGTCGTGGCGAACATGGCCATCGTCTCATACAAGCAAGTTTCGCGAAAGTATCGGCGCCGCGAGATCCGGGATGCGAACGCGAAAGCGGAGGCGAAAACTTCTGAAGCGGCCAGCTCTGTGCTGCGACATTAGAAACTCGTCATTGGCCTGCCTGAACGCAACAGAGTCTCCGCAAACATTTTCGTGCAGGCCAAAGAAGGAAGACGCGCAAATGCGCGAATTGTTACGCGAGGAAACCATCAAATCGTTGTACCTGGGCCAGTTTCGCCAGCCCAACAAGTGTACGGTTACCCCAAGCACTTTCCCCTAACACATTAGCCAGCACCTTCCATCCACTCCGCATGTCCACCAGCCTTTGGGATTCGGCTCCGCACATATGCCTAGCAGGCACAGATTTCCGCACAGCTTCCGTCCCACCCATGGCTAGATGATCATCGTTCGCTCTTCGGGGCGCTCCTTTCCTCCACTCATCGTTCAACCGCCACTAGCAATCCGCACTATCGCCACTCTCCTCGCCGGTCCTTCATCGCAAAGTCTCTGCCGTTAACTCTCGCAATTTCCACCTGTCCGTCATACCAGCTCTGCTCGCGTCGCGAGCCGCACAAACAGCAGCGTTTTCCGCAATTCCCTGCCAAGGGTCACTAGATATCCGTATTTCTGGCTAAATATGGCAAGCGGCGTTTATTATACCACCATTTAATAGCAGAATCCTCTAAATGGTACCCGGAAGCCGATAATCGACAGGCTAATGGAGTCCGAATCGCGAGCCAATGAGATGAATCCACGTGGATACGAGGCTGCTCTAGCGGAACTCTCCGGTCCGATTAGTCCGCAGAAGCGCGCCGATGGCCGAAACTGGGCGGATGATTTCGCCCTCATGCGCTTACGTGAAGGTTGGACTGTGGCTCTCTCAAGCTAAGGTCTGGCAACTCTCAAAAGCTAATGTCTGCTCTCTCAAGCTAAGATTGCTCTGGGGAATCTTTCTAAGTCAGGCGGGCCACGACAGGCGCCATCTTAGTGTCAGGTCTCTGGTGTAATTCTAATCTAATGAGTGATTTCGGCATGACAATTCCAGCTTTTTTTTTTTCCCCTCCCAGTTATCTGTTTTTTCGTGGAGCTGAAATCCGTTATTCGTTTATCTGTTCTTGTTCTCAGGTTCTGGACCTGGAGGGACCAGTTGACCAGCTCAGCATCATCCACGTGGCAGGCACCGAAGGCACCAAAGGCACCAAAGGCAAGGCAAGAAACCAACACGGCGGACCGTTGCACTTCACTCGCGTCGTGGTTCACCTGGCTCCCCTCAGCCAGGTGCGAGTTGGCTTTTGAGTCGACTCAAAATTCAACTAGTGTTGCTGCAGGGTGTTTTTGAGAATTCTCAAAAACACCCGTCAACTAGTGTTGCGTGCTCCGCGCAGCCAGGTGCGCCAGACAGCACCCGGGCCAGGTGCTGTCTCCTCGTTCCTTCTTTCCCTCCTCCTCTCATCTCCATGCTCCCCACCCCCCACTGGGATCCACGTGCGCCATGGCGGAGAGCATGCTGAGGAGGGCCAGCGGCCACACCGCCGGATGGCAATTCTGCTCGTCATCTCTTTCTCTTGTCCCCTGCCCTCGTCCATGCTCCCCCTCTCTCCCCAGCAGGGGTCCACGTGCGCCATGGCGGAGAGCATGCTGAGGGCCAGCGGCCACACCACGGGGCTCTTCACCTCGCCTCACCTCGTGGACGTCCGAGAGCGCTTCCGCCTCAATGGGTGCGTGAGGGCAGGGAGAGTTGAATGGGGGTGGTTCCGCCTTAATGGTTCCGCCTCAACGGGTGAGAGGTGCAGGGGGAGTGGTGAAGCTCAATCGACGTCCGAGAGCACTTCTTGCCTCACCTCGTGGACGTCCGAGAGCGCTTCCGCCTCAACAGATCAGTGGTGCAGGGTGAGTGGTGCAGGAATGTGCTCTGTGCCATGCTTTTTCTTCAAAATTGCACCCTCTTTCTCTCCCTTGTTTCAAATCTTAAATCCGGATCTTATCCCCAGGGAGATGGTGTCAGTGGATACTTTTCTTCTTTCCCTGCCCGTCCCTGGCCAGGTCTCCCATTGTTCGTACCCCAGGGAGATGGTGTCAGTGGATACTTTTCTGGTGGTGCTATGACTGGTGCAATGGGCGAGGCAGGTGCAAGGGGCGAGGCAGGTGCAAGGGGCGAGGCAGGTACTTTATGCCTCTGGGCGTGTCCTGTTTCTACAAGAATGAGGTCTCCCCTCATTCCAATATCCTTTTCTTTCCCTCCCCTTGCATGTCGCACCTTAATGAGGTTCGACGCGGCCAATAGGACGTTGCCACCTCATTGCAACCTCTACCTGACTTCCCCTCTCATTCCCGTTTGTCTGATCGGCTTTCCTTGTCTTCTTCCCCCTTTCACCTTGTTCAGGACTTGGCCAATAAGACACCGCCACCTGCCTACATCACAGGGCTAGGAAGTGTTTCCTGGCCGGGCAGGTGCGAAATTTTCCATGACTGCCCAGTCGCGACTGGGCAGGAGGATGGAGGTGCAGACGGGCAGCTGACGTTTTTTTTAGACAGTGCCCATACAGTGGAAAGCATGGAGGTGTGCGGAGAGTGTTTCTGCGATGCCAATCAGGGTGGAGGGGCAGATGGAGGGGCAGATGAAGGGGCAGATGGAGGGGCAGATGAAGGGGCAGATGGAGGGGCGGATAAAGGGGCAGATGGAGGGGAGGATGAAGGGGCTGATGGAGGGGCGGATGAAGGGACATATGGACGAATAAATGGTGGGCGAGGAGGCAAGGAGAGGGTGAAGGAATGGGCACAAGGAGCAGCAAGAGTGGGATTAGTCGCAGATACTGCAGCAGCAACAGAATAACAAGGGGTAGCAGCAGGGGTGCAAGAGTCAAGCCACGTGGAAGGCACGATACCTATGCGGGTAAGGCCCCGTGGATGCCAAGTGTAATAGTTTTCGGTCCGCTTACCTTGTGCGTCACTGCTCATGCTGCCACCACTCCCGCACCCACGTCCGCGGCTGCTGCTGTTCAACTGAAGACGCTTTCTTATGGCTTTTTTCACTCACGGTTCCCCCCTCGTCCAGTCAAGTGCTGACCCCCTCTCACTCTCATGCTTTGTGCTGCCACCTCTCCCTCTCCCACGTCCGCAGTTGCTGCTATTCAACTGAATTCGCTTTCTCACGACTTTTCTCACACGGATTTTCTCCTCGTTCGCTCTGACTGACATGCTAGGCTCCATGTTCGCATGTGAGTCAACACATGTTCGCATGTGAGTCAACACATGTTCGCATGTGAGTCAACACATGTTCGCATGTGAGTCAACACATGTTCGCATGTGAGTCAACACATGTTCGCATGTGAGTCAACACATGTTCGCCTGTGAGTCAACACATGTTCGCATGTGAGTCAACACATGTTCGCATGTGAGTCAACACATGTTCGCATGTGAGTCAACACATGTTCGCATGTGAGTCAACACATGTTCGCATGTGAGTCAACACATGTTCGCATGTGAGTCAACACATGTTCGCATGTGAGTCAACACATGTTCGCATGTGAGTCAACACATGTTCGAATGTGAGTCAACACATGTTCGCATGTGAGTCAAGACATGTTCGCATGTGAGTCAACACATGTTCCCTCTCACTGCCTGCTCTCACTGCCTGCTCTCACTGCTCATCACAGGTGTTGTTGTTCAACTGCATGACTAGAAGGGACCCACGCACACTGATGACACGGCTTCTCACGACACTTGAGCGCAGAGGTGTGTGAGAAAACACTAAGGTACGGTACGGTTGGAGAGGGTGAATTTCGGCTGTTTCGACATCCATCTCTATCCATACACGGCTGCTCAGGACACTTGTGGGCAAAGGTGCGGCTGAAAACACTGAGGTGCATTTGAAATTCTCAGGTGTGTTTGAGAACACTTAGGTCCCTTCCTTCCCCGATCCCCTCCTTTCACATTCTCTTCCCTGCCCATTCCCTTCCTTTCCTAATCCCCTTCCTTTCCCATTTCCTTCCTTCCCCACTCCTTTCCCTTCCCATTCCCTTCCTTTCCCATTCCGTTCCTTTTCCTTTCACATTCTCTTTTCCATTCCCGTCCATCCCAATTCCCTTTCTTGCCCATTCCCTTCCTGCAGGACTGACCTTTCAAGCAGCCCTCTTTGTCCCCTCTCTCTCCTCCTACAACACGCTTCTTCCCCCCCCATCCACCTCCTCCCCGTCTCGTCTTCCCCCATCCCGCTCTCCTGGACCCTCCACCGAGATGTCGAGACAAAGTAGCAGCATTGGTACCGATGCTAGTGTGCCGGCCAAAGCAGCAGCGCTGGCACCAATGCTAGTGTGCCGAGGCAAAGCAGCTGCCTCGGCCAGAGCAACTTGGAATGGCAGCTGTCCATGCAAAGAATGTGCGAGCAGCTGCAGCAGCAGCCGCCACTGCATCTTGCTACTTCTTCTGCTGCTGCTGCCGCAGCCACCGCCGCCGTTGCCGTTGCCGCCGCCGCCGCCGGGGCTGGTACTACCGCTCTCCGGACGCAGCTGCTGCTGCTGCTGCGAGGGCTGGTACTGCTGCTGCTCCTGCTCCATCTGTTGATCCTCCAGATGCTGCTGCTTATGGAGCTCGTGCTGTTGATTCTATTCCTGCTTCATTCCTTGTGCCTCACAAGCTCACTCGATTGGTGGCATCACCTGCACAAGCAGCATCACAAGCAGCAAGACAACCAGCAGCACAAGCATCATCACAAGCATCATAAAAAAGCAGCAGCACAAGCAGCAGGAAGGGAAGTGGAGGATTCATCCTGGCCATCGATTTTCCAAGGAACGATGAGTTTGGGGCCTCACAGTGCTGTGCTGTCGTCACTGCCGGCAGCCACTGATTTGTCTGGGATGGGATGCATCCAGACGTCCATTTGCAGGTGTTGGTGGGAGACAGGGAGACAGGGTCACTGCACCTGGTGGGAGATGTGCTGCGTGCAGTGCGGTGCAAGTATGTGTAGGTGGATCAAAAGGATCATTCCTATTATTGATCGAATAATCCAATTTCAGTCTCTTAAAAAACCCGATGTACGGTATTTGTTGGTGTTGTAAGTGCTTCATGAGTGGATCTGAGGGTCACGAATGTACACTGTGTTGGGCTGAAATAGAACAGACAGTTTTCTGGGGAAATAGAATGTACAGCAACAAAAGGCAATCAAACTCTTGGTCAAATTCAGATGGATGGGAGAGCAGAGCAGGCCTTCCCACGTGCTGCCTGTTGTTGGTAGATCTAATGACTTCTCCAATCTTAGGTGCATTCCTGCCTTGACACAAATGTCTCGATCGCTTTGTGACACCCAAAAACAGCATAAACTGTAGTGTGTCCCAATTGCGGGTCGGATTTCAGCGACTGCTACTGTATTTTTCATTGGTTAGCGTGAAACGCGCTGACGTCGCTAACGAATTGTAAACCGACGCAACATTCATACAAAATCGCATGCGGTTCGAAATGTCAATGCATCTGGACGCCTGCACAGCGTAATTCGCGGGGAAAAAAATCCCGCGCATCACAAACAAAATGCCAGCCAAACGATTGAAGAAACTGGTGTACAGCCATTCGTTTCACCCAATCAAATGCGCAGATTTGTGCATTTCGCCTGGTCGCCTAGTGTCATGATACATTCATCTTTTGTGACGCGAGATTGACAGAATGTTTCGACGCGACTCGGGAAAACGGGGATTGAGACAAGTTTCAAGGCAGGAATGCACCCTTAGATGCACTAACCACTGTACCCTATACTTCCCCGTTACTTTCCCCACATCCCCCCTTCTTCCCTGCATTCTTTCCCAACCTCAACCAACCATTTCTCACCATTTTGGACGGTAGGTTTGAGGTAGCAGGCCCTCAGTTGCGTACATAGCTCTAACTGTATGTCAAGTGAACAATCATGATTTTCTACCAAGGTTTGCATTACAAAGCTCCGGGAGGTGGAATTTGGGAAAAACAATAACATTTGGCGCATTTATTCATTATTGGGTGTAGACAACACGACGGGTTTCGATAAGGATCTAAACATGTGCTTCAACACTACATTTGTGCCGCCACTCGACTTATTCGCACGCAAAGCAAAACAGCCAATCGGAATCACCACCACTACACGCTCTCGCCAACACAGCCAACCGACTGCCTTTGGCGGCTGTGGTGTCAGAAAGCTGGGTGGGTGGGATCAACGGGCTGCGTCGTGCTGAAGGGCTCGCTCTTGCTGAAGAGCTCAGTGTTGCCTAGAACGTTATGGATGAAAGGATATGGGACGGGTGTGCTCCAGAGTGGGATGGGGATGACGAGGTTGATTGTGCCTCAGGGTTGGGTGGGGATGGAGAGATTTCTGGATAAGGTAATTGGTGCCTGCCTGGGAATACCTCTGGTGGATATCATGATATTTCAACAGCCGCGGAGTCCCTGCAGGCAAAGAAGATCACGAGCTGTTGGCGCTGCTCCGCTCGCTGGTGCTTCGATCGGCGGCGCTCCGCTTGGCGCTGCTCCGCTAGGGGGTGCTTCGCTTGGCGCTGCTCCGCTTGGCGGTGCTTCGCTTGGCGCTGCTCCGCTTGGCGGTGCTTCGCTTGGCGCTGCTCCGCTTGGCGGTGCTTCGCTTGGCGCTGCTCCGCTTGGCGGTGCTTCGCTTGGCGCTGCTCCGCTTGGCGGTGCTTCGCTTGGCGCTGCTCCGCTTGGCGGTGCTTCGCTTGGCGCTGCTCCGCTTGGCGGTGCTTCGCTTGGCGCTGCTCCGCTTGGCGGTGCTTCGCTTGGCGCTGCTCCGCTAGGGGGTGCTTCGCTTGGCGCTGCCCCGCTAGGGGGTGCTTCGCTTGGCGCTGCTCCGCTAGGGGGTGCTTCGCTCGGCGCTGCTCCGCTCGGTTGTGCTTCACTCGGCGGCGCGGGTCCGCTCGGAGGTGCTTCAATGGGCGGCGCGGGTCCGCTCGGTGGTGCTTCGCTCGGCGCTGCTCCGCTTGGTTGTGCTTCAATCGGCGGCGCGGGTGCGCTCGGTGGTGCTTCAGACGGCGGCGCGGGTCCGCTCGGTTGTGCTTCACTCGGCGGCGCGGGACCGCTCGGTGGTGCTTCAATGGGCGGCGCGGGTCCGCTCGGAGGTGCTTCAATGGGCGGCGCGGGTCCGCTCGGAGGTGCTTCGCTCGGCGCTGCTCCGCTTGGTTGTGCTTCAATCGGCAGCGCGGGTGCGCTCGGTGGTGCTTCAGACGGCGGCGCGGGTCCGCTCAGTTGTGCTTCACTCGGCGGCGCGGGACCACTCGGAGGAGCTTCAATGGGTGGCGCGGGTCCGCTCGGAGGTGCTTCGCTCGGCGCTGCTCCGCTTGGTTGTGCTTCAATCGGCGGCGCGGGTGCGCTCGGTGGTGCTTCAGACGGCGGCGCGGGTCCGCTCGGTTGTGCTTCAATCGGCGGCGCGGGTCCGCTCGGAGGTGCTTCAATGGGCGGCGCGGGTCCGCTCGGAGGTGCTTCAATGGGCGGCGCGGGTCCGCTCGGAGGTGCTTCAATGGGCGGCGCGGATCCGCTCGGTTGTGCTTCACTCGGCGGCGCGGGTCCGCTCGGAGGTGCTTCAATCGGCGGCGCGGGTCCGCTCGGTGGTGCTTCGCTCGGCGCTGCTCCGCTTGGTGGTGCTTCGATCGGCGCTGTTTCACTCGGCGGCGCTCCGCTCGGCGGCGCTCCGCTCGGCGGTGCCCCGCTCGGGGGTGCCCCGCTCGGCGGTGCTCCAATCGGAGCCGCCACCAGCGAGCAGGAGAAATCAACAACCACCGATCCTCTGGAGGCACAGGGAGCCACAAGCTTGGATATCTCAGTGTACGCTTTAAGAGAAGGTGCACTATGAATACTCGACAATAGCGTTGTGAAGGTGGAGAGTGAAGGTGGAAAGTGAGGGGGGTACAACAAGTGACGCTGAATGCTTTACTTTTGAGTTTATTAGAAATGCACCTGGTAGGCCCAATGCAGGCGCATGAAAGCCATGTACCTGGTAGGGCCATGGTAGGCCCGTGGTTAGCCACGCACCTGTTGGGCCCATGGTAGGAAAAGGTCGTGGATCCGTCTGCCGAAAAAGCATAGATAATTGCGGAGGGACCAGACAGCTTCACAGGCACTTGCCCGGTTCCCTCCGTGCGAGAAAATCTGCAACAACAGCAGCACAAAAAAGCCCATGTTTCGATTGAATTGTACTTTTGAGGCGCCTCAAAGGGGAAAAAAACAAATCCCGCCCATAATTCGAATGGATTGTGGCTGGATGTAGATGTCTGTGGTTATTTCCGGGTCACGTTTTGTGCCTTTTCGTTTGGCACTGGGGCATTGATGTTGGAACACGGGGGTGCTTTTGCGTGAGCATTCCAAAGGCAGGCGAGGCTTGCATGAGCAGCAGGATACTCACAGCATGCCCATTCAAGACATGTCCCAATTGTCTCGTCACTTACTTGATAAACTTCCCGTCGGGGTATTTCAGATTTGGCGTCGTTTCTATACCGCCGACCAAGCTTGTCGTGACCATCAAATGTTGATCACCGGGCGAGGTAGACGTCAGCGTGTACAGGCCGGGGGTGTTACTATTGCCGACCACGGCGTCGCTTCCTGCCATTCTGCCGTCCACCGACCACCCCACTGCCGCCCAGCCGGGCTTGGAGGTCTCAAGTGCGAGGTTGAGGACGGTTGAGCTGGAATTTATCCAGTGCAGAACGAGACTGGGGGCGGGTGCATTGAAAGAGAGGACATATACGAAAGAGCAGAGGGGAATCAGGGGAGTGAATCAGGGGAATCAGAGGAGAACAAGAGGATGCAACAGGAGAGCATGAGTGAGCTGGATGATGCACGTTCCAAGCGTGCTGGTCGCGAGTGGCTCTGCGACGTCGTACTGGTTACCACTGGCAGGAACATTTACAGCATCGTTTCAGCTCAACTACCTGGTACGCTTCTACCGTAGAGACTACGGTTGTCGTATGACTCATATCGGATATGATTGAACGCGGTACGAGTCCGAAGACGAACGGACCTGTCGCCAAGGGGAACCATGTATTGGAATCCAGGGAAATTCGACAATGTGCAAGATTCGGCAGCGGCGGGCGTGCCCTCCGCCGCCGCTCTTGGCGCAGAACACGCGCTGATGAAGACCACGGCGAACAGGACCACCGCGAAAGCCGGCGCCATAGACGGGAGCTTTCCAGCCATGACTTATAGTACTTGCGACAGTGTCGCGAACGAAGGAAGCAGTAAATCCGTCGCTGAGATGAAAGTTCAAAGGAAATTTGCACAGCATGAACCGAGAGCTCTGACTGACAGTACTTCTCAGTGATGCTTCCGAGGTGCTAATGAGTAAGCACTCACTGCGAGAGTCAGGTCCGTGTGTCACATGTAACTGTGTTAGCAGGATACCTAAGCATGGATTTGCGTCTGCTATTCTGCGCTTCTTATAGTAGCGTGACGGAGTCCCTATGGTACATCGTTCCTCCTCGCCATGGTGCTACTGGTACATCGTTCCTCCTCGCCATGGTGCTACCATTGTGGCATGCGACGTCGAGGCTTGGGAGGTCACGCAATAATGCTCACCCGTAGCGGTTTCCAATAATTGTATGTAATGTACCCTTTTGGCTGGTATAATTGTGGCAGAGTCCTATGCTGTCACATGCGGTGCGGACTTTCTCCATTCCACGGAAGGCCAGTCAGCAAATGCCATCGAAGGGCAGTCAGCAAAAGCGGTGCGATGTTCTCACATTTGACTTGTGCAAGGTATGGTTGGTTTTGTTCCGAGTCTCCAATCAACCTAAGTCAGAGCAGCCTCAACAGAACCGCTTGGCTTGGGCGATGTTCGGCAGCCAGGGGAGGGGGTTTGATGGGGGATCAAAATGGCGAGCCTCCAGGCTCGACCACTACGAACCAGGCAAAACACTTCGGTCAGGCTAGAAAAATGTGAAAAAACTGTCGAGCGTAAGCCTAAAACGCGACGCGAACACCACGCTAGGCTGTAACCCGCGCCGCATCCTCCCCCAAAACCTCCCCCATGGCGGAAAAAATCCGCCCTAGTGCCCAGGGGATCCAAATTGCACTCCCGTGAGTGGCCTCAGGGCGCGTTTCTATCCCGTGTCAGACAGTAGGTTTGACACGAAGTGGAGGTTCGGAAGACCCGAAGTGGCTCGTTTTTGGGGCGATTGGAAGTTCGGAAGAGACGATTTGGAGACTAAGGCCGCATGACTTGATGTCTGACACGGGATAGAAACGCACCCTCACCCACGGGGGATGCAAAATGGATTCCCTCAACCACGATTTTATTTTATGATTGTACCCCACACTCTAAACTGACGGGTAAACTGGACATCGGAAATGTATTGCAAAACAGTTGTATTCAATAAGGTAAATTGGGTGAGTACGACATTTAGGACATTCATTTTAATTTATGGTGTTAAATGTTTTTGGCAAGTGATATACCTAATCCCATCGCAACAGTAAAATGAGGCAGGGAGAAGAAAAACTATTCAGCTCGCGAAGTTTCGTTTCGTGCGGCTGCAGTTTCCTGGGCCCCCAATTCCCGCGTCGCTCATTCGCGCCTTTCCCCCCAAAGGTTCCGCTTGCGCCTGGACCCCCGACTTGGAGTCAACGATGGTTGACTCCGAGTTGACCACCCCGAACTAGAAACCATAGCTGAGAATTTCGATCCCCCCCTCCATCCCTCGGTGGATCCCCTGTGCTGCCGAACATCGCCTTGGTTGGGAATGACTGCGAAAAGCAGAAAGGGGTGGAGTAACACTGCGGAACAGCTCGCAACGGGCGAGTGTGGGTGTACGAAAGAAGAGTGCGCAGTATTCAATAACGCGGAAGTGATTACAACAACTGGGCTTACAACGAGGCCTAGGCATAATATAGCAAAGCTAGCTAGGCCGAGGTTGCGGAGTCGCGCGAAGGTTGGGTGCAGGTTTGGGGATGGGAAACCCGAAGGCGACACGAATGACGTTTGGAAGGTGAGGTCGACGGACCGAGCCTGAACTCCGAAAAGTTGGAAATGTACGGGTGTGGAGTGACTCAGTAAGGAATTAGCAAAATTCCTTACACTAACCCACCCCCCCCCCCCCCCCCCCCCCCCCCCGCCCCCCCCTTAAGAAAGGCGGTCAATATCAGGCACGCGTCGGCGGGAAAGATAATCCCGAAACACCGAGTGGCCTTGTAGTGAGTCGGCCGGGACCCACGTGTCATCTTTGCTTGTGCGATCCACCCGACGTAGGAGGAAGTCGACGTGACGTCCAGCCGGGGTCGCACAAATACGATGATTTAAAAATTTCCACGGTTGAAGCGTCGGATCTGCCACAGGTCGGACACTTGGTGCGATGTTGGGTCGAGCGACGTCCGACGACTGCGGAGCCACGTAGTGGCGAAGTAAACTGACGTGGAAGGCGTCGTGGATCTTCCAGTCGTCCGGCAGCAGAAGTTGCGCCGTGACCGGGGTCAGCATCCGGATGATGCGGAAAGGTGCTACGTTGCGCGGACGCAATTTCGCAGGTTGGGGCAGTCGGAGATTCTTCGTGCTGCCTTGTCGAGTGCTGCTTGGCTGACTTCACGCGCACTATTTTCCGAAACCTCGCACTGCTGGACCGGCCGTGTCGGCCTACGCTTCGGCCCTAGCTAGCTCGCATGCACCGCGTTACCGTTTGCATGTTTTGCGTATAAATGTTCGCTCCTGCCGTCGCTCACATTTTGTACTCGTTTGACACCTTGGTGCAATTCTCGCTACTTCCATTCATTGCACCCGTAACAAAAATCAAGCAATTCATGCATGCATAAAATTATCCTATCCTAGAAATAGCAGTAAAAAGTAAAGGCAAGCAAGCATAGCTGGCATACGCCGTCGTACTCTCACATACCCTATACACGACAAAGAAATGCTCGCCATCGTGCATGTATTTCGTACCTGGCGCTATTACCTCACGGGAGCCGACGTCACGACCAGGACAGACCACAAATCATCACAGTACATGCGCAGCCAACCACAACTTAACCCGCGACAAATCCGGTGGCTCGACCATCTCGAGTCCAACTTCAGCTACACCATCACGTACAAAAAGGGCGCCAACAATATCGCCGATGCCCTGACTGGCCCATCAATGCAGACCGCAGCAGTACTAATCGCCCATTCTAACCCCTTATTGGCAGGACTGTTCAAGCACGGCTACACGACTGACATGTTTTTCAGGACCAACCAACACCAACGGGTAACCACGGCGCATGGGAGCTATTGTGAGAATAAGCGAACAGGAATGAATGAACTAGCAGTGAAATGAGTACAAGTAGGAAACCCTAGAATTGTGTACCCCCTATAGGCTAACCCACTGTAGCCTACACAAGCAGAACAAATCTAATGTTTGACACACCCCCATAGGCAAAGTGGGGGAGAACAAGGGGTCACAAGACCAGTCAAGCAAAGCAAAGCAAGCTCAGGGTGGATCACAAAGTCACCACACAGTCCGAGCACAAGAGCAGGGCCAGAGGCCAGTTCACATGCAGGAGTACAGACATATATATAAAACTAGACAAGCAAGAGCAGGTATATATATATGTCACAGTACAAGTGAAGTCAAGAGGAGAGCAAGTGAGGCAAGACAGGCACAAGACCCAGCTGGGTGCAAAAGCGCTGATGGTCACAAGGCGCGAGTGCCTTGGTGAACACATCAGCAGTGTTGGCCTCAGAGGCCACGTACGCAAGTCGCAACTGACCACGCTGCTGCAGCTCACGAGCAAGGAAGTAGCGGAGAGCAATGTGCTTCGTTCTGTGCTCCAAGCGCTGCTCTCGACACAAGGCCAGCATGGCCTTGTTGTCTACGTACAGCACTGGAGGAGAACGAGGCGGCTCTCCAAGGTCAGTCAGCAGGTAGGTGAGCCAGCGAAGCTCCTGTGCAGCCATGGCCCCGGCGTAGATCTCAGCCTCACAACTGGAGCCGAGAACCGAAGACGAGCGAGTAGACCGCCACGAGACAGAGCCGGAACCAAGGCTGAAGGTGTAACCCTGTGACGACCGCTGCGTAGCCTGGTCGTCAGCCCAAGAAGCGTCCGCGTGGCCGGTAAGGACCACTGGACTCCGCCCTCCAAGCACAAGCCCCATGCCCGACGTACTGCACAGGTAGCGCAATACCCTCTTCGCTGCAGCCATGTGCTCTGGTCTGTGTCTCCCAGGAGCAACATAGCGTGCAAGAATGCTCAGAGGGTATGCAAGGTCAGGTCGTGTGCAGGTCATCAGGTACATGAGGCAGCCAACAAGCTCTGCATACGGACCACTCGACTCTACGGACTCATCCGAAGGCAGAGCTGAGAGTGAGTGGCGAGTAGGCAGAGGAGTGGCCTGAGGCGAGGAGTACGTGAAGCCGAAGCGCTGAAGGACCTGCTGCACCATGTGTGACTGAGTCAAGGTAATGGTGCGGCGTGCTCTGTCCCGAGTGATCTGCAAGCCAAGGTAGCTGCGCAGTTCACCCAGGTCTGTGCACGTGTGTCTCTTCAGCAGCTCGGACTTCACGTAGGCGAGTCCAGCAGTGTCCGCTGTGGCAAAGACCAAGTCGTCGACGTACACGAGGATGTAGAACGGCGGCAGTGAAGTGTCGGTGCGCAGAAACAGCGACGGGTCAGCAGTAGAAGGAGCAAACCCAAGTGCCGCCAGCGTAGTCCTCAGTGTGTCGTGCCACTCACGCGGTGCCTGGCGGAGACCGTA